GGCAAATAGGAGCTGGAGCTAAAAAAAAGGAACACCCAAAATTGGGCTTATCACACGATGTGCCTGCCTGAATATTCAGACTTAAATGTTATATCCTCCCGGTCTTAGCTACTAGAGATGTATATTCACCCCCTTGTTTAGCTTTAGGTTCCTGGTCTTCATTCTCATGATGTGCTGGGTCCTCTTATGGTCAATACGGTGACTATGACACCTTGCACTCACAGTCCGTCTTTAGGCTTCCACGTTGAATAACAACCCAGAAATCTAAGGGGGGCACCTAGTGATGACGGAGAGTATTGTAGCCAATAGAGAGACTTGTAGTATGTTTATGGTTTTCTAATGACGGGTTCACTTTAAGTCTTCCATCTGATGAATTCTTTTTGGGTGGTCAGGTGGGATTTAAGCTCCACCCCCATAAATCTCAAGCGTCACGTGATTTAAAACGTCTCCTCATCTCTCTTGCAGACCACAGAACGGTTCCATCATCCTTTACAACCGCAAGAAGGTGAAATACCGCAAAGATGGCTACTGCTGGAAGAAGAGGAAAGACGGCAAGACCACGCGGGAAGACCACATGAAGCTGAAGGTGCAGGGCATGGAGGTGAGTCTGCCGTCGGTCTCAGTGGACACGGTCTTATGACGGAGAGGATGGATATTGAGAAAAGGGATCGGAGGAAGGCAAGGGGTGTATATAAATCTCTGGCAGGGGGGTGTATATAAATCTCTGGCAGGGGGGTGTATATAAATCTCTGGCAGGGGGGTGTATATAAATCTCTGGCAGGGGGGTGTATATAAATCTCTGGCAGGGGGGTGTATATAAATCTCTGGCAGGGGGGTGTATATAAATCTCTGACAGGGGGGTGTATATAAATGGCAGGGGGGCGTATATAAATCTCTGGCAGGGGGGCGTATATAAATCTCTGGCAGGGGGGTGTATATAAATCTCTGGTCTCCAGTAGACTTTTATGATGAAATTGACCATCAATTCCGACCAGAACTTCCTTTGTACATTAAAAATGTCATTATTGTTTTTGTTAAAACTTCCTCGTTTCAAAGTAAGTTACCTTTTGGAAATTCTGTGATGTCATCGCTTGTATGGACATGGCGCAGCTATGCCTGGGCACCCTAGGAAGTGCCTACGTCACTACCTCTCCCTGGGCAGTGCGGCTGGAAGAACCTGCAATGCTCATCCATTGTGCTCAATTACTAAGCCTGCCAACCTATTCCGCAGAGGTAAATGGGCGTAACAGACCAACAGCCTCCTGTCCTGTCAATCATATTACTTGGTCTTGGTCGGCGGGCGAGACCAGGAGTCTCCTGTCAATCATATTACTATGTCTTGGTGGGCGGGAGAAGCCAGGAGTCTCCTCTCCTGTCAATCATATTACAAGGTCTTGGTGGGGGAGGGGGGGAAGACCAGGAGTCTCCTCTCCTGTCAATCATATTACTATGTCTTGGTCGGCGGGCGAGACCAGGAGTCTCCTGTCCTGTCAATCATATTACTATGTCTTGGTCGGCGGGACAGACCAGGAGTCTCCTGTCCTGTCAATCATATTACTATGTCTTGGTGGGCGGGAGAAGCCAGGAGTCTCCTGTCCTGTCAATCATATTACTAGGTCTTGGTCGGCGGGACAGACCAGGAGTCTCCTGTCCTGTCAATCATATTACTAGGTCTTGCTCGGCGGGACAGACCAGGAGTCTCCTGTCCTGTCAATCATATTACTATGTCTTGGTGGGCGGGAGAAGCCAGGAGTCTCCTGTCCTGTCAATCATATTACTAGGTCTTGGTCGGCGGGACAGACCAGGAGTCTCCTGTCCTGTCAATCATATTACTAGGTCTTGCTCGGCGGGACAGACCAGGAGTCTCCTGTCCTGTCAATCATATTACTATGTCTTGGTCGGCGGGACAGACCAGGAGCCCTTATGCATGATATATGGCGTGGATTCTCAGTGGCTGCACCATTGTTTGCAATATAAGAAATTGACGGTAGGAATAAAATTTTTGACAGTGCTACAAAATGTCTTCCCGGAGTTCAGCTATAAGTGTGACTCTTGTGTCTCCGCAGTGTCTGTACGGGTGCTACGTCCACTCGTCCATCGTCCCCACCTTTCACCGCCGCTGCTACTGGCTCCTGCAGGTGAGTGCCTCATCCCAGGCCCAATCAGACGCTTTACTCCATATCCTTCACCGGTTTGCTTTTTTTTTATTGTTCCTTTTGTATTAACATGTTGAACTTTTAAAGCTGAACTCCAGGAAAATATTGATAGGAGGGAGAGCACAAAGAGATGAGTCTATCACTGTGCTACTTGACAGGCTTGGGGCAGGTCCATCACAACCTGAGCTCAGATCAAGAGGGTTCAATGATGCTGGACATTGTGCAACCCAGAAGACTTACTGAACTTGTGAAAAGGAGGTGCGGACCAATCAGCCATGGTCTGGCAAAGTAAAATAACAAACCCATATGGGGTGAAGAGCAGGACCTGCCAGTAAGAACAGAGTTCTAGTGATCTTTTCCAGCTGCTTATCTGTTGGGTCCTTAAAGGAGAACTATGAGGGGGGTGCTTTTCCCTCACCTCATAGTTCTAGCCGACCTGTGACAATGAGACTGTCACAGGTCGGCTCAGTAGATCGGGAGGTGAGCGAACACATACCAGCGTTCGCTCACCTCTCAATCCTGTCACGGCTCTCTGCCGTGACAGGGGATGGATTCCCCCCTCCCCGCTCCGATCCTCCAACGCTGACTGGCAGAACGGACGGGGGAGGGGGCGGGTACAGCTGGCTCTGCCTCTAGATAGGCAGAGCCAGCTGTCACTCACGCAGCTGGGCGGATCCCGTTGTCTAAGTCAGGATCCGCTCCGGCTGCGGCGTCTCAGTATATAAGGAGCTGTGGCTCGCGGTATACTGAGCTTAGGGTAACGGGAGGACGTTAGTTTGTGTCCTCCCGTTACCCTAAGGAGAACTATGGGGAAAAACACTGACCCCATAGTTCTCCTTTAAAGACGGGCAAATCCTCCCGGGTACGGTAGTTACCTTGATGAAGTGGGACAACGCCGCATCCACAGTGGAGATAACTCTCTTTTGCACAAAATCCTCCCTAAATAGTTTCAAGGCTAACAAGCATTAGGCCCCGTTCCCACTGCGCGATATGCATATCGCGCGACATCGCGAGATTTGCCGCGCGATGTCGCGTTCAAGCTTGCATTGAGCAAGCTTGAATCGCGGCTAAATCCGCTCAAAAAAGGGTCCTGCTGTAGCGACACACGACCCGCTACAGCAGGACCCTTTGCCCCATTGGATTGCATTGGAGCGCGATATCGCGCGGTAATTTGCCGCGATATCGCGGGAATTACCGCGCGATAAATCGCTCAATGTGAACGGGGTCTTAGGGTGGAGTAAACGGCTTTTCGGGATGTTTCCAGTCTCTGTAGAAAATGAGTTGGAACAGTGGGTGCAATGGGAAGATCTTTGCAGTCTTAGGGGCTCTAAAGGGCAGCTGGGGGTCAATGGCTAGAGATGGCCAAAGTCATTGTAGGGGGGCAGCATGAACCTGCCGAAGATCAGTGTTCTTGTGGATCTATGCAAGAAGAAGCAGATGCAGGGGATGCTCCTTGACTCTGTATGGTGGGAAAGAGCTGAGGCAATGCTGGTGCTAGGAGGGGTTATCCTGGGCGGTCCTGCAGTTCATTTTGTTTGCCAGTGTCCAATCCTTCTGTAGGCAGCAGTATAACCCGAAGGTAATTGATTTCCTGTGTCTTTCAATGGGTGAGATAGAAAAACATGTTTGGAAAGAGACCCTGCCTCAGGGCAGTTGGTCTTCTTCTTTTTTTTCTTCTTTGTGGTATTGAAGGACAACAAGCTGTTCTGTAAATGTTCCCCTCACCCCCTCGGGGTGGCAGCCACATACATATATATACTAAACATTAATCACTGCTCCCTGGTTCTTAAAGAAGAAGGTCCCAGCCATGCTGTTCATCCCACACTTTCCTATAACTGCTCCATACCCGACATAGGAATGCATGGGCTGAGTGGGCGCGTATGTGCATTAGGGTATGGCCACGGCAAAGCTTTATTTTGCTGCGAAGACTGTTCGTCACAAGGTAGGGCCACCCAGTAAAGAGCTCTGAGGGGAACCTAAAGGTAAGTACTCTGATAAGCGGCTTCCACTTGGGGTGGGGGTGTTGGGGATGTGGAATGGATAAAGGCCAACATTCCCCCCAAAAAAGATATAGAGATGAACTAGAGGTGGGTCCATACCTCCATACCTTGCTGCCTTTTGTGCGGCCACTAGGTGTCCTCATCACATCGTCTGCTTCCCCCTCTGTCCTGTAGCGGAGGTGGTATTGTAAGCTGACCATATGGGGCACAATGTCTGCAACCAATGCAACTCAAGTTTCTAGTTAATAAGGTTTAAGGATAAGGGGTATCGCTTTGTACAGCGGTCAGCTTCTATATTTCTGTCATTTTCCCCTTTCCCAAATCTATAACATTCTTCTGCATTCCGTCACCTCTCCTCCTGTGCTGTGACACCCATTGCTTTTTTTTTTTTTTTTTTTTTTTGTCTCAGAACCCCGACATTGTTCTGGTCCACTATCTCAATGTTCCGGCCATCGAGGACTGCGGGAAGATCTGCGGCCCTATTCTCTGCTCCACCAGCAGCGACCGCAAGGAATGGATGAAATGGAGCAAAGAGGAATTGATCAGTCAGCTCAAACCTATGTGTAAGAACCAAGAGTCGGGGGGTGCAGAGGACCATTCACTCATAACTGTGTGTAAGAACCAAGAGCCGGGGGGTGCAGAGGGACATTCACTCATAACTGTGTGTAAGAACCAAGAGCCGGGGGGTGCAGAGGACCATTCACTCATAACTGTGTGTAAGAACCAAGAGCCGGGGGGTGCAGAGGACCATTCACTCATAACTGTGTGTAAGAACCAAGAGC